AAACACCCAAACCTGCTGGAGAGGGATTCAGAAACACCCAAACTTGCTGGGGAGGTGTTCTCCATAGGAAGGACCCCCAAAACCCCCACAGGGCTGCCCCCATAGAGGAGGGTCAGGACTGATTCCCTCGGGATGGAATTTAAAGAACAAAGGAAGAATGAGTGGAAATGGTGATAAAGGAGAAATGGAAGGTGCTTCTGAAGGGAAAAAAGCCTCTCATTTTGAAATAAAGCACATTTCAAAGCAAAAAGTGGATTTTTGCACCTCTTTTCCATTTCCTCCTTTTCCATCTGATCCAGGAGGCTTCCCAGCTGCAGGTCAGGCTGTGGACACACATCTGTCCCACACAGCAATCCCTGGGGGTGCTGCTGATCAAAGGGCAATTCTGAATCACTGAAAGCACAAATCTGCTCCAACAGTGCTGACAAAAACCAGTCCTGCCCCAATTCCCCTCCCAGAGCTCTGCAGGATTCACCCCAGCAGTCTGAGTGCAGAGGATATGGAGGGGATGACTCCACTCTGGAGCCAGCACAAGACAAGCACAAATTCCTGAGTGTTCGGAAAGCAGTTTGGTGTGCTAGAAGCAGCAGCAGCTGCAAATGTCAACAGCTCCTTCCCAGAGCTGCAGACACTGCAAGGGAGCTCTGCATGCACAGGAGGGCAGGGACAGCCCTGGAGCAGCTCAGGAGCATCCCCAGGGACACATCAGTCAGGGCAGGAGGGATGGGAACACTCCCAGCAGCAGCTGTGGGGGAAATTCCATCCCCCAAAGGTTTGTCCAGCCCTGGAGTCCCCATCCCTGAGGGATTTCACAGCCCTGTGCTTGTGGCACCTGGGGACACAGCTCAGGGGTGGCCTGGCAGTGTTGGCTGGATCTCAGAGGGGTTTTGGGCTCTGGCAGTGCTGGGGGAACACTGGGCTGGATCCCAGAGGGGTTTTGGAGCAGCAAGGCCCTCCAGCTCCCTTCATCTCCTCACTGAAAGCTTAAAGGCACAAATAAGGAGCTGAGTGGCCTTAAGCAAGCTCCAAGTGAGGCAGGAGCTCGCTGGGGCTCCAGCACCCCCAGTCTATTCTCCCAGGGAACAAATCTGTCCCTGTGTGTTTCAGGATCCATCAGAGAGCTCAGCCCCAGCACACTCAGCACCTTCTGCTTCACACAGAGCTCATTTCCAGCCAGAGTACAGAATTCCAGAGGCAAGGCAGCAATTCCATCCCTCCTGATCCCAAGGCAGTGGAAGGAGCAAACTGCAGCTCCAGGCCAGGTGGGACAGGGCAGGGGTGGCATTGGATCCATGCATCCCAAAGCAGGCTGATGCTGTGATAAACAGGTAAAACTGGATTGTGAGAGGTGGGAAGGTCTGAGAAGAGGAGCCACAGCCTGAGCTGATTTATCCCAGCCATGGGATGGTGTAAGTTGTAATCTGCACTTCAACTTCCATTTCTGAGATCAGATCAGATCAGGGAATCCTGGAATGGTTTGGGTGGGAAGGGATCCTAAATCCCACCCAGTGCCACCCCTGCCATGGCAGGGACACCTCCCACTGTCCCAGGCTGCTCCAGCCCCAGTGTCCAACCTGGCCTTGGGCACTGCCAGGGATCCAGGGGCAGCCACAGCAAATCTGGGAATTCCAGCCCAGTCCCTGCCCACCCTCCCAGCCAGGAATTCCTTGCCAAGATCCCAGCCCAATCTCCCCTTTCCCAGTGGGAGCCATTCCCTGGCTCCTGTCCCTGCAGGCCTTGTCCCCAGTCCCTCTGCAGCTCTCCTGGAGCCCCTCCAGGCCCTGCAGGGTCTCTCCAGAACCTTCCACCTCCATGGTGCCCAGCCCTCCCAGCAGTGGGTGTTCCCTCCCAGCTGGTTTGGGCTGAATTGCCACAAACATCTGTAGCAGAGAGAGCATAGGAAGCCACAGTTCACACCCACTCTGTTTTCCTCAGATCTCTTTTCCTGTTTATCCATCCTATGAACTGCTCAGTGATGATCAGATGAAACTGAGACTTGAGCACTTCATAAACCTCCTCTCTGCCCTGCATCTTTTCAGTGATGCTGGCCCAGGGTACAGCCAGGGACCCTGGCAGGACGAAGCATCAAATAAAACAGGGATTCTCCCAAGAAAGCCCTGAAATCTCCCACCACCAGCACCACAAGTGTCTCTGCTCAGCCCCTCCTGGTCCCTACACAAACACAGCTGCAGCAGTTATTACAACTCAGCTGTTTTATTGAAGTACAAAACATAACAAGTGAATTTTCTACATTGAGACAGGCGTTTTAAAAAATCTAAAAATCTTCGTTAAAACCCGTTGAAAATAAATATATAAAACTGCTATTCCAATCAGGGAGTTATAAATATGTTATGAACCAAGTTCTTCCAGACTGTGTTTCCTCTGAAGTGCCTAACACCACTATAAAACCCCAGCTATTTATTTAAAACCCTGACACTTCCCCAAATCCCTGATTCTTACGTAGGGCAGGACCAGTGAGCACAGAAGGGAGCCAAGAGCACAAAGTGGGGCTGCAGAAGTATTTAGTGCCTTCTCCTGTGCCAGGGCTGTGTGTGCCCAGCCCAGGCTGGCTGAGGTCAGCTCCAGGACACCTTCTTCCCCAGGACACGGCTGGTGATCTTCTGAGGGAAAAACAAAGGGACAGGGGTGAGTTTAATGATTTGAAATTAGCAATGCTGAGCACAGGTTCTCTGCACAGATTGCTGTGGAATCCAGCAGGGGGAATACCCATGAGCTGCTGCTCCTTCCAGCAGCTCTCTCCAATTCACTGGCATCACAAACTCGCTCCCCCTCGTGGAAGAGCCTCAGCATTGGAACAAATCTGCATCTGATAAACTCAGAAAATTCATTTTTGCTCCAGTGGGGCTGAAAGTTCTGATTGCTGCTGCCATCAGATCAGAGTCTGTCCCCACTACAGAGTGCAAAATTCTAGGCACTCCCTGTCCCCTGATCTGACCGGGATGATTTTATGCTCTATTTGAAATTAAAAGCACAAAAGCAAAGGGCTGCTGGGACAGAGCATCAGCCCAGATCCACGTGCACCCTGTGATAAAAATAACTTTACTATCTTAATAAAAAGAAGTATTGAACAATTTCACAGATAAGGATGTCTGTGCACTCCAGCCCAGGAATTTCTATGGCTCCAGTTCTAGGTCAGCCCATATTGTTTCCCCCTCACTCAGTGCCAAGAAGACTTTTTATTATTCTCTCTCCCGTCAATGAGCTGCCCCAAGCTGTCACAGAAATGCCTTGAGACCAGCTCTGTCTCATTTTTGGAGCCATTCCACAGAATCTGTGGTTGATTTTCAGGCACAATGAGCCTCACCCAGAAGCTGGTGCCATCCTCACCAAACCATTCCCTGATTTACAGCAGCTCCTCTGCACCAGCAGGGAGAACTAAAGCACTGCAATTATTTACTGCCATGAATCATCACCTCCCTTCCAATCAAACCCATATTTATGTGCAAAAGTTCTGATCCTATTTCCTCCCTGCTTCCAGCCCACTCTGCCACTCCAAGTCAGTGACTGCCAGAACTCATTAATTCCTCCAACTTTACTGTCCCAGCATCTGGAATTCTCAGACCAGAAGACAAAAAAATGTCCTGAAAATACCCTGCTCAAGTACAGCAACAAATTAAAGTCTTTCTAGTGGTAAATTCCGCAAATTAGAGTAGGAAGATGTTTTACAGAACACATTACAAGTGCTGGCTTCCAAAATCCAATGACTGCTGCTCCCAACAAACAGCCAAGCCTGTTACTCCAGCTCTGGAATACTCCAGGAGTTTAACACTAAAACTGGAGTGCAAGTTTAACACCCAGAGTTTAAAGAAAAGGCCAGGTTTAGTTGCAGTGCCTGTCCATGCTCAGGGACACTGGTTTATCCCACAGCTCCCCAGCAGGGCCAGTGCTGGGCAAACAGAAACTGCTGGAACCCTCAGAGGTAACCCTCCACCAGGACTGCAGGCTCTAGCCTGGATAAATTAAAGGTGACTCCAGGCTTTGCTAGGCATGGCTGGGAATTCCCTGAGCCAAACCTACAGCCAGGGCACAGGAGAGCAAACCCAGCTCTGGAAGGACACTTGTCCTTCTGGGATGTGCTCCAAGACCCCTCTGTTCCACCCCAGGGCCTGCACAAGCCCTGGTTTTTATCATTTCACCAGCACCACCTTCTGAGCCATGGTTCCATGGAATGGGAGGATTTCAGGAAAGGAAAGGTGCAGCAGAGCTTGGCTGATGAATGGAGCACACCTGGGCAGCCCCAGCACTGGACTGCAGTGCCCTGGGTTGTGAGGTGTGGCTGGGGTGTGCATTCCTCCTGTCAGAGCTGGGGCAGATGGGTGGGTTTGGGGCCAGCACCTGCATGGATGTGCCACTTACACCCAGACAAAATGGCTCCAAAATCTGATTTTTACTTCTGGCCTGCTCTGCCTCTTCCTTGCCATGGCACAGGAAGGTGTGAGATGAAAAGGGGAGCCCAGGTTTGTTTCCAGCCCCTTGCAGGCCTTTCCCTGAATGGATCCAGGCACATCCTGTCCCTACAGCACGGCCAGGAGGGACAGCCACAGCAGCAGGCTGTCCTCTGGGCAGAACCCAGCTCTTCCCTCCTCTCCTGGGATGTAAGATAAGTGTGTATTCTATTGCCACCTGTCAGAGCTGGGGCAGGTATCTGCTGCTCATGGGGCAGTTTTCTTCATCTCTTCCACAGCCAATCCTTCCTCCAGGAGGTCTCTTCAGTTAAGGGGCCATTAATTATTAATTATCTGCTATTAATGGGCCACTAATTATTAATTACCTGCTGTCCATGGCCAGTGAGTGTCCCTGCAGGGCTGATCAAATTCCAATATCCCATGGGGAGATGCTCCGCCCAGGGGAGGAGCCAAGCATTCCTGCCTGGATACAATCTGAGGTTTGGGACACCCCAGCAGCCTTTGCACCCTGCATTCCCAGAGGAGCAGCTTTCTGCTGCCCTGCATTCCCAGAGGGAGCCCAGGCCCATCTCCAGCAGCCCTGGAGCTGCAGAGGAAAACTCCCCCCTTGTGCAGGATCCCTGCTGCAGCAGAGCCACAGCTGGCACTGCAGGAGGGCTGTGCCCCCATGGGATGGGGCTGGGACACCACCCTGACACACAGGGGGGCAGGGCATGGTCTCACTCTGGTAGGGTTTGTTTTCTTTTTGTTTGTACTATTGCATTTGTATTTTTAATTTTCCTGTTAAAGAGCAGTTATTCCTATTCCCATATCTTTGCCTGAGAGCCCCTTACTTTAAAAATTATAATAATTCACAGGGAGGGGCTTTGCATTTTCCATTTCAGGGGAGGCTCCTGCCTTCCTCAGCAGACACCTGGCTTTCCAAACAGACACCCCTCAGCAGATCCCTGTGTCTGGCACCCCCTGAGGGAATGTGACCCTCCAGAGAAGAGGGGTGTCACATACAGGTAAAACCTTATTAAAATAAACTGTATAAAATCTGGCCTCACTACTGTGAGATAAGAATTACAATAGTGAGAATCAGTTAGCAAAGCAATCTATTCTTGTGAGAAAACAGTTCACACCTGTGGGGAGGAAAGTTCTACCCCTGTGAAACATTCCCTCCCCAGGAGACAAGAACGTGAACATAGCTGGAAAGAGAAAGGTTTGATGGACAACTACACCAGCCATTGCCAGCCAGTGAGCTGAGCTTCACTGAACTGCTGACCAGTGAGATTCAGACACTGTGCCTTCTGATAACCATACAAATGTAAAGAAATATATGTTTATATAATAGAATACTTATATTATATTATATTATATTATATTATATTATATTATATTATATTATATATTATATTAAATAATATATTTTTCATGTCATATAATATATATTATATATTCTATTATAATATATTATGTATTATATTATAATATTTAATTATATAAAGATAAAAATATAATATATATCTTCCATATTATATCTATATTTATATCTATATTTTATATTTATATATAAAGATATATCTTTTATATCAAAATACATATTTACAATATATAAAATATAATCTTTTATATAAATATATAAAATATATAGAATATCTATTTTAATATATAAAAATATATCTAGTATAGATATGTATAGTAATATGTAATATATATTTTATTATATATATTAATATAATAAAATATGAGCTATGAACAGAGGTTTGGCTATTCTGCATGAAGAACAGGTGTCTTTGTCCATTGTGACCAGGGGACACTCACAGTTTTGTAGAGCTGAGCCCTCAGGCGGTAGGAGCTGTACTCCTGCCTCCTCTGCTCCTCCTCCCTTTTCCTCCTCACCTCAGGGAGCTGCTCGTACATCCTAAAGGGACAGGAAAGGCAAAAACAGAGATTTAAAATTGCCTGACATTAAAACCACAGCTGCTGTACACAAGGAGAAATATTAGAAAAGAAAAGCCCTATAAAATATAGTTTAGGCCCTGCTACTTTAGCTAAACTAGTAGCCAGCTTCTAAGTTTTTATGTGAAAAAAACAGATTGAGAATCAAGTCTGCATAACAATTTATTCCTGTAAAGGAAAAAGTAATAACAAAAGATCTGTCCTATGAGAATTTACAAAGAAAAAACATAAACATCTGAAGAAAAAAAAGCATTAACACATACACACACAAGCACCTTCTAACCAACAGACTGAGTGTTAAGGTTACTAACCAATTAGAGTCAAACACAATGTCTTTAAAAACTGTATAAATGTGAGCTTATGTATATTTATTTCTATTTTTACACTATTTTTTACATTTATATATTTGCTTTATTTATTTAATATGGGCATGAAGAAACTGAATCCCATCTGCTTTACTGCAACACACACCCTCTGCTTTAGCCCCACATCCCCAAGGGCTGCTGGCCAAGCACATCTCTGACAAATGTGTTTGCAGTTTGCTGCTGTCCCACTGTGGAATCCACAGCAGCCCTGAGCGGGGAATTCCTGCCCCTGGGATGGCTCTGCTACCCCTGGGATGCCTCTCCTGCCCCTGGGATGCCTCTCTCCCACCCCAGCACCTCCCCAGAGCAGCACCTGTAGCTCTGCCCTGCCCTGGTGCCCCAGTTGGAGCTCAGTGTCTCCCATGTCCCCAGCCCAGGACAGCCCCATGTCCCTCCAGCCATGGCAGGAGTTCAGCACAGCAATCACCTCACTGAAGCCTTTTAGGCATTCCCAAAATTCCAGTGCTTTCAGTAGTGTTGCCCTGCTTTGGCTTTGTCTTCTCCTCTGCTGATGCTTTCCCAAGTTTTCCTTCAATCCTGGAATGGTTTGGGTTGGAAGGAACCTCCAAGCCCATCCAGTGCCACCCCTGCCTTGGGCAGGACACCTTCCCCAGACACCCTAAGAATACTCTTCAGTGCTAAAAATCATTAAAATGTATCATGAAAATCATTAAAAATCATCAAGGGGTTTATTTTATATATTGTATGATTGTATTGTATTGCAGTAGGTGTTTAGTGGAATCACAGGGAAACCAAGTTGGCAGAAACTTCAGGAGGCCACCAAGCTGCTGCTCAAAGCAGGATTAATTCCAAGGCTGGACCAGGCTGCTCAGGCCTCATTCCACCAACCTGGGACTATTTCAGGCTCTGCCACCTCTGCTGGTCCTGGCCATGCACTTCCCATCCCATTCACAGCAAAATTCAGCTTCAGTGAGCTCCCATTTTTCACCATCCCTTCCCGTGGCCCCTCTGCAGCCCAGCTGCTCCAAGGGTAAATCCATGGAGTGTGCTGGGCACTGCAGAGATGAATTACTGCAGTCAGAAATAACACAAACCCTACCCTAAGGTGGTTTCTCCAAGGGTACATGCCTCTGCATTCCCTTGGGGTGATTATTTCTATAGAAAGACTCTTGCTTTAGGTAATGCTGCCTCGCTGCTGTCCCAGTTACCCACTTTGGTAATTTCTGATCTTCCTCAGATGCTCCAGTGTCCCCCAGCCCATTTCCTCTCCATGTGGGACCCGGCTTGCTGTGGATGGCTGACACTGCAGCAGAATCTTAGGTTTAGCTACAGAAATCACTTTTCCAAAATGATTTTGTTTCTTAGAACTTCTAAGCAGGACATTTCTCCCTCTGATAAGGCACCTGCATTTTTCACTGAAAAAGCTGAATTATTTGCACACCCAGTTCTTTGACTGCAGACAGGATTCAGAGCTCTTCCCTACCCAGGGCATTGATCCACCTGAAATAAAATTCCCTGAACTTTACCTTTTAGATCTTTGAAACATTTCATGCTTGGGAATTGCTCTTCTTTTTTCTCTTATCAGGAAACCTGAATGGAAAATTTTGAGAGAAGGGAATGATGAACGAGTTTGTTACTGCAACAATCTGAGTCCTTTGTAAGTTTTATAGAAGTTCTCGCAAAAAACTCCTTGTAAGATCTTACAGACAACAGGCTTAATTAACTGTAATTAGTTTAGGAGAAATACAAAGTAAATAAACACACCCTAAAGCACAATGTGGGGTTCATGAAACCAAAGAATTCAACGCAGAGCCCTGAAGTACCTCGGTTGGACAACAGGTGATTTGCAGTCCTGCAGTCTTTTCTCCTCCTTGCAGGCTGCAACAGCTGCTGGGGTGGCAGGAGCTGGTCCCTCTGGGCTGGCAGGAGCTGGTCCCTCTGGGCTGGCAGCAGTGTTTCCCTCTGGGCTGGCAGCAGTGTTTCCCTCTGGGCTTTGTGCAGCCTCCTCTCCTCGCGGAGCAGCCGCAGGTGCCTCAGGCGCTGCCCCGAGCGCGAGATGAAATCGGGACGGTGCAGGGCCAGCGCCTCCTGAGGGGACACCAACACACCAAGCTGGGGCTGGCAGCTGCAGGGGAGACCCACAACACCCACCACCAACCCCAGAGCATGGAAAAAATCCCCTCACAACATTGGGTGTAAAACAAAACTCCTGTCCTTAAGGCTGGGTAGGTGCTTGGATGCCAGCAGCCTCTGAGCCTCTGCTTCAACAACATGGAAATAAACTGGCCAGAAAGGAAAAAACCCAAAATAATAATAAAGAATAATAAAAACTCATTTTAATCTCATGCTATGTACACCTCAGTACTGTTTCTGCGTGGAAACAAGCGTGGTGGAATGTTCTGTCAGCCACATCCCCCTGGCTCCTGAAGCCAAGGGGTTTAACCCCTGTAACACCAGACCAAGTTAAATACTGGGGAAATAACCTGGGGCAGGATCCTGGGGAAAGCCAGGCTGCCAGAGCAGTCCAGGATGTGCCCCAGCAGTGCCTCGGTCAGGGTGCCTCACCTGCAGGGTGAGCTTGCCCAGGGGCTGCCCCAGCCCCCTGCCAGCCCCCGGGGCTGTCACTGCTCCCTGGCCCAGCCTGGGCTGCTCCTCCCAGTTCTTCTCCCTCAGGGGCTCTCTCCAGGGCTTTGTGCTGCTCCAGGGCTCAAACCAGGCTGGCCCAGGGCCAGAAGGGGCACTGAACTGGTTTTCTTTCCTTGATTCACATTCCAAGTCCTCTGCTGGGACGAGCCACGGAGCCCCTGTTAAAAGAGCACAGGAGAGAAAGAACATTTGAGGCAATTCCTGTGCCTGTTGTCCATCCAATCCATGGAAAGAACAGTTATTTACCAGCAATCACACATCGTTAAGGAGCCTTTCTGCTGGCCTAAGCCCTGTGGCTCTTCATCCATGTTTTGGAAGATCAAGCGCTTTCCATCTCCCAAATGCTCAGTGTGTCTCCAGGAATTCAGTTACTCACAGTTTACACACACAATGATGTGAATGCATCAGCTGGGATTTTGAGCAGATATTCTGAATTTTCTAAATTAAACCCTTATGAGAGAGAATGATCAGTCCCCACAACAACAACAGTGATGAGTAAGGGAAATATTTTTAAACATTTCATTGTGACGTTGTGAAGAGTGTCAGGAATTTAAGAGACTAAAAATAAAATAAAATAAAAACGTCAGGAGACTCCAGCAACAGCCTAAAAATGCAATTTTCAATAACAGTCGTGTTCTTCCCAATTTTCACTCAAGAACTCTGGAAAAATCTCCTGGGAAGCCTCAGGGCATGAGACATTAAGGACAAGCTGGTGACCAGCACTGAGAGTTCAACAGAACCTTTTGTGTCTCAGAAGTTAAGCACCTGCAGGATTGCCACCTCTCCACCTTGTTTATTCCTCCCCAATGAGTGCATTTCCTGCTGTAACACCCTTCCATGGCTGAAATTGCCATCAGAAGCCAGCACTGCAATCCCCTGGCAGGGTTTGGTTAACTCCCATGAAATCCCAGTCAGAGGAGGCTGTGGCAGGGCCAGGTCTGTGGAGACCCACGAGCCTGCCAGGGAGAGGGCAGTGGGAATGCCCTGGAGAGATGCACCTCGGGCTCTGGGCACTCCTCACAGCTCAGGGTGAGGAAAGAGGCTTCCCCCATGGTGCCCTGCAGCTCTGTGTCCATTTATCCAGTTCTGTCCTGCCCATTGACCTTCCCTACCCCTTTTACCCTGTATGCTCATGTTCTAGAGAGTTCTCCCTTCCCCATTACCCCATTGGTTTGTGCAACCTATTGTCATCCACCCTGGCATCCCCTGTTGTGTGGAACCCTCTGAATCCTCCCCCCAGAGAAACCCCCAGGGATTGCTTTGCCTTGGAAGGATCTACCATAGAGTTTCCCCATCTGGATGATGGAGAGGACTCAGCCCATGGTATTCTGCAGCACTTATGCCAATCCACATCAGATTGCCTCCCCCATGGGCCAGCTGACCCTGCCCACACCAGTTACTCATCCCTCCAGGCAGGTTGCTGCCCTTTGCCCACCCCTGTGCCCTCAGGTCACTGACCCCACACTCGAACCTGTGCACACCCCATGGTTTGGTCTTTGTCCCTGATCCTTTGGCATGCTTTGGAATAAACCCTCACTGGAATACATCATACTGAGACCCTTCCTGTGCTTCCTCTGCTGATCTGCGTGAGTGTCTGTGTGTGCATGGACCTGAAATGCTGTTCTGGTGGCCTTACTCTGAGCACCCTCTGAAGGAGACACCTCGAGGTGTCTGCAGCATTTCTACCACCCTGCCATGCTGCAACACTGTCAGTCCCTTCCCTTTTTTACCACACCTGAGCCCTCAGACCTCTGGATCCACAATTTCCTTCCTCCTGTATTTATACCCTGAACACTCCTTTGTGCTTGTCTCTGGCCCCTGGAGCCCTTCAGCATTGTCTGAAATAAAGCACATTGGAACTCAATGCCTGGACCCTCTCATGCTGTGTGTGTGTTGAGACATGAGGTTAGGGATTAACTGAGGTTAGAAACCCATTTCAGATTTAGGTGAAGTGTGCTGCTCTGAATTGTTCAGTCTGTGCAGTCTATCCATTTGCTGTGCTTGTAAAAAACCTGTGCTTGCAACAGCCTGCAGCTCACAAAGCTGCCTCAAACAAGGTGAAAAGAGTGTGAACTTCCAAGCTAGAAGAAAATAAGAGGGGCCTCTTAGACCTTAAAACAAGATGGAAACCAAAACTAAAGCTACAGGAGTTGGATGGACTACCAGAGAGCTCTCTACTGATCAGAACTAATTGTGATAAATAAATATGCACAAACCTATTGCAAAACTTAATGCATAGCAACAGCTTAAGGGACATAAAGGAAGTTTAGACTCTCAAGAGCACACATGCCTTTAGAAATGATTCACCTTGTACCAGTGCTGTAATAAACACAGCACTTTTCAACTGTAATTAGTTGAAGAGCTGTCTGTTCATAGATCAGTGTGTGTGCTGTGCTCTCGTGGCTCCTGCCCCTTGGCACAGGATGCTCTTGGGGCAGGGTGTGTGCACCACCACCACAGGCTGTGACACAGCCCTGGCTGTCCCCAGGCCTGCCCAGGTGTCCCCAGCCTTGTCTCAGTTGTCCCCAGCCCTGCTCTGGCTATTCCCAGCCCTGTCTCAGCTGTCCCCAGCCCTGTCCCGGCTGTCCCCAGCGCTGTCTCAGGTGTCCCCAGCCCTGCTCCAGGTGCTGACCTTGCTGGAAGTGCAGCCTGCTCCTCCTGGTCCGTGTGTCTGTCAGGATCCTGCCTGGCGGTGCCCGGGGCTGCTGCCACGCTGTGTCCTGGCCCTGTCCTGGATGTCCCCAGCCCCGTCCCTGGTGTATCTGACCCTGTCCTGGATGTCCCCAGCCCTGTCCCAGGTGTCCCCAGACCTGCCCAGGTGTCCCCAGCCCTGTCCCAGGTGTCCCCAGCCCCGCCCCAGCTGTCCCCAGCCCTATCCCAGGTGTTCCCAGCCCCACCCCAGGAGTCCCCAGCCCTGCCCCAGGTGCTGACCTTGCTGGAAGTGCAGCCTGTTCCTCCTGGTCCGTGTGTCTGTCAGGATCCTGCCCGGCGGTGCCCGGGGCTGCTGCCAGGCTGTGCCCTGGTCCTGCCCCGGGGGCTCCCACAGCTGCTGGCTGCTCCTGGGCGTGGGGAAGGTCACGCCCACGTCCCTGGTGTTCCTCTTGGTGGCACTGCTGACGATCTCCAGGTCCCCTGCAATAGAAACCAAGCAGGGACATCTCAGTCCCGTGTGCCAGGAGTGAATAATCACATCCTTCACCCACCCTCAACAGTCCAAACCTTTCACATTTCTATTTTACACTTCCCCAAAGCAAGGAGAGTTTCCAGTTATGTTACTGCTTGATAATCTGAGGGAAATTAAAATCAAATACCCCAAGCAAAATATTCATTTATCTGGGGGTGGGAATTCAACTGGAATTAACTCTGCCCTATGAAAATCCTTCCCTGATTCAATCTGCTTGCACACAAGCAGGAATAAATAAATAATTGCTGTATCTGATGAATAAACCAGGGCCATTACTCAATGTGATGATGGGGAGTTGGCGTGGAAATGAAAGCAATGAAGAAACTGCTAGTTGCCACCAGAAAAAACCCAACTGCAGAACTGCACCAGGCCAGGAGCAGCTCGGGACTGAAATAGAATTCAACACCCAAAATATTCCCAGGAAGAACAGAGAACACTGCAGTTGCCTTCTGAAATAGCATATGCCTACAAAACCCATTCTGGGAGGAACAGATGTCTTGGGGAAAAAACAATAGATAAAAAAAGGCAGCTCACCTTTGCCATTGGAATGGAGAAGAAGCTGAGGTTTATAAATTTACAAGTGAGAAAATTGGTTTTTAAAGCAGCCCAAGAAGGGCAATTAAACAGCTCACCTTCACTAAACACATCACCCTTCCCTGCCAGCTTCTGGAGTGAATTTGGAGGGTGCTGCCTGTACAGAGCCATCCCCAGAACACCCAGAGTGTGGAGGACAGGTTCCAAAGCAGGAGAGGCAGGAGGAGCCCAGGGAGGTGTGGGATTCAGGGCCTCACCTGCCTGGATCCCTTTGTTCAGCATCCGAGCCCGTCTCTTGTGGCTCAGGGCACAGCTGGGCCCCCAGGAGCTGCTGCTGGCACAGGTGGAGTCTGAGAAGGGCATGGTGCTCTACAAAACAGGCAAGGGAACAGAATTCCTGAGATTCCAACCCAAACAGCAGCAAACAGCATCTAAACAGAAAGAAGTCATTGCTTTTCCCTCGTTGTTGTTAATGCTGAGCCCAGGCTGACCTGTCCCTCTGCTCTCACAAATCCCAGCCCTGACTCCACCCCGTGCACCTCCAGCAGCCTGCTTTGGTACATGATTGAAAAACACATTATTTACTTTATAAAAACACATTATTTCTGTGGGAAGAGCTTGCTGCCATCAGTCAGGACAGCACTGGGCATCCTGCAACCCACCTGGGGCTGTCCAGCTGAAGGGAGAGCTCACAGGGGGCTCCAGGAGAGCTGGAGAGGGACTGGGGACAAGGATGGAGGGACAGGAGCCAGGGAATGGCTTCCACTGGCAGAGGGCAGGGATGGATGGTATTTTGGAAATTGGGAATTGTTCCCTGGCAGGGTGGGCAGGCAAAACATTTTCAAAGCAGGGGAAGCTCCCTCACTCTGTGATCCTCACCACAGAGTCCTGCCGGTGGGAGAAATTCAGCTCCAGAAATCCAAGAAACAGGAGGGACATGGAAGGAGCAGGGCTGAGGGCTGAGGGGAGTGTCACACCTTCACTGCCACCAAGCCAGGTGTGAAAGCTACAGGGCTGGACACAGCTTGCAGATCACACACTGATTTCAATTAACAAAGCCATTAAAAACAGGAAGGCTGTGCCAAGCCTTGGCTCTGGGGGTTTATTATCACCAGTGACCTGGCAGCACCTCCAGGCTCCCAGCACACCCTGACAGTGCCCACAGCCCCCCTGAGCTCCAGCTATAATTACAGAGCTGCAATCAGGAACTGGAGAAAATTACCTGGTGTCCTGTGAGTCACCCCCAACACCAGCCTCTTTACTCCCCTTTACTGCAGCTCCATCACCCCAAACAAAACTCAATATTAGAAAGAGGCCATGGAAATGAAGAGTCCCCTTTATTCCCCTTTACTGCAGCTCTATCACCCCAAACAAAACTAAATACTAGGAGGAGGCCATGGAAATGCAGAGGCCTCTTTATTCCTCTTTACTGCAGCTGTATCACCCAAACAAACCTTCAGTACCAGAAGGAGGCCATTTTTGCTCTCATAAACCTGTTTTTCTTTAATTTCCTGTAACTATCCCAGCTCCAGGAGAGGCACTGCACACATGCATGGATATGGATTTCCTTTCAGATAACAGAACATGTGAACATTCGAATTGTGAACGTGTGAATTTGAATTATGTCTTTGGCAAAAACATGTCAAACCAGGGAGAAAAATCCCAAATCTGCCCTCCCCTGCACTGCAGCACTGCCCAGCAGCAGCCACCCAGCCTGGGCAAAACAGCCCAGAAATGACCAAAATCAGAATTTTAAATTAAATTTGCTATTTTGCCATCTATCTTCTCTCACCCCTTATTTTAGGGGGCTCATGTGTGTCTTCAGATGGATTTTTTAAAAAGGATATTTCATCAGCAGATAAAAAACGTGAGTTTCTAAAGCCATGGGGGTTCAATGAGCCTTTAAAGGGTTTATTCCCCACAGTATTAATTCCATTTGTCATCTCACAGGTGATTTAACAGGTTAAGAAATCAGATTTGGGTTTAAGATTCAAAAGATCCTGAAAAATTAATCTTGTGAAGGGAACGTGGAATAAAATCATCTTCTGAATTCTACAACTGTGCCAGAAATGTTGGATCCTCATGCTGGTGTTCTGGTTAATAGTCCTAACACTGCAAAGTTCAGGACAGTTTTATTTTACCTTCAAATAAATGTTATGAATAAAAATATTAAAGAAAATATTTTCTAACCATTCTTCACCTCCAAAAAGATTGTTTCTTCCCCAGATTAATTTAGTTATTGGCATTATTTTTAATTACTTCATCATTCACTGGCTAATTTGACAAACAGACTTGGAGTTGTTTCTATAAAATAAAATAGCTAATTTAAATTAAATCTGGTAGTAATGATGCCAGTTCCACTTTCATCTGGAAATACAAAAAAATGAAAGAAGTAATTCAATATTCCTCACTTGTTCTCTACTTTTCAGCATTTCTGTGGATCACAGAACCCCTGAACTAATTCCTTACTAATATCACCAAATCCAGGCTGAGTCCCAGTTAAGAACATTTCCATTTCTCCTGCCAAGGGCAACAGCTGAATTCACCTGAAGGAATTATTCCCTCCCCTTTCAGACAGCTGCACTGCAGAGCTCTCACCTGGAATTCTCAGCTCTTTAAAAAGAAAAACCTCACAACCAGCCAGACAAAACAATTCACAAATTTTTACAAGCCCATCAGCAGGGTAACTCCAATAATTGTATGGAGCCTTGCCCAGGGATGTCCTGGCTGCAATTTCCATCAGATTTAGAACCTCACTGAGCCTGCAGGTATCTGTTCCCAGGGGAATGGGGACAAGGAGGGCACCCCCAGGGGGTGTGTGCCAGCCTGAGCTGCTGCCCTGGCTCCTGCAGACTCAGACCTCAGCTGGGGCTGCCCCATGGAAGGCAGAAGCCTCCTGTACAAACCAGTGATTCCCAGAAATTCCGTGATTCTGAGATTCCCAGTGACTCCCAGTGATTCCCAGTGTTTGATTCCCAGTGATTCCCACACTCTCAGAGATTCCCAGTGACTCCCAGCGATTCCCAATGATTCCCAGTGGTTCCCAGTGATTCTCAGAATTCCCAGATTCCCAGTGACTCTCATTAGATTCCCAGTGGTTCCCAGAGATTCCCAGAGGTTCCCAGTGACTCCCAGAGGTTCCCAGCTCACAGAGCTGGCAGCAGTTGGGGTTCCCATGGGGATGGGGCAGTGCTGGGCTCAGGGGGCTCTTACCTGGCTCTGCTGGCCCTTCCCGAGGCTCTGAGCAGCTCCCTGGGGACATCCTGCAGGCCCTGCTGCTTCACTGTGCTCCTGCCACTTCTCAGAGCGCCTCTTCTGCTGGCTGATGGCACGGTACAGCCGGGCCAGCCTCGGGGACAGCTCTGGGGACAGCTTTGGGCTGGGGGTGTCAGTGCTTGGGGCCACCCTGTGCTGCCCAAAGGCCTGGAGCAGCCTGGCTGTGTCAATGGTGGACAGGGACAGGGAGCTGCTGTCCCCAGAGACAGGGGAGGTGTCCAGCCCTGTCCCCGTGTCCCACGCAGAGGTGCTGCAGGTGCTGCAGCTGCTGGGCTCCCCGCTCAGCCTGCTCTCTGAGGAGCTGTCACTCGGCATGCCCACGTGCTGCTGCTCCTCCAGGATGCTGCCCAGGTGCTGCTGCTCCTCCAGGATCCTGCTCAGGTGCTGGATCACCTTCTGCCCTGCACTGGGCTCCCCATGGCTGCTGCTGCCATGGCTCACACGTGGCTTCTGTCCCAGTCGTGGTCCCCTTGGCTCCGTGCTGCTCCCAGACCTGGCTTTTCCTGCCAGCCCAGGTTCTGGCTGCTCCCTCCCCGGCATTTCCTGCTCAGGAGCCCTCTCCCCAGCAGCTGTGGGTGCCAGGGTGTGCCTGATGGGGTTCTGCAGGAGCCTGGCCAGGCGATCCAGGCGCTGCACGAGGCTCAGCTCCCCGTTCCTCCTGAGCTGCTGCTGCTGCTGTGTGCCCTGGCGCTCCAGGAACCTCAGCCACAGCTCGTCCAGGCCGCCCCTGGCATGGCCCCTCTGCCGTGGTGCCATCCCCAGGCTGTCCTGCAGGGGAGCAGCTGGGCCCCGTGGGGCAGGATCGGTGCCAGCAGCGCCCTGGTGCAGCCCCGTGCCAGCTGCCCCGTGCCCAAAGGACCCCCAGGCACTCAGCTCCTCGCTCCTGCTGTCGTCAGCCTCTGCAGGGAGGGCAAAGAAGTGCCCTGCTGTGCCCAGGGCAGCGTGCCCAGCTCCAGCCCTGTCCCTGTAGGGCTCCCTGGCATGCTGGCTGCAGCTCTGCCTGGTGGGCATGGCACAGGGCTCAGGGACACCACGGGAGGGTTCTGCACGCTGAGAACCAGCTGGGAGCTCTGCAAGACACAAAACACAGGGATGTTTCACTGCTCTGCTTCAAGTGCAGGATTTTCATGCTAAAACTCCCAAAACACCACAAAGGATTAAAAGCAGGATCACCGAACTTGGAGATCAGGTTTGAGCATTATTTAAATCACATAAACAAATGTTTTCTATCTTTTGAAACATGGAATCCAAGAGAATATTCCATCCAAGTGAATCTGGGGAAGAATTCACTCCACCAATTCCATCTCACGGGCCTGCCCTGACCAACCCTGAACTGAGCCTTTGTTAGAGCCATGGAAGGGACCTCAAAGCCCATCCAGTGCCACGGGCAGGGACACCTCCCATTACCCCAGGGTGCCCCAATTCCCACCCAGCCTGGCCCTGGACACTGCCAGGGATGGGGATGCCCTGGCCACCCATGAAACACACCCAGCACGAGCCAGGATCGTTCTGCAAAACAGCTTTAAAGTGATTTTTAATATAATGTAAAACCTGTCCAGTTTTAAAATGTGCCTTGTGATTTTTGTAGAAAGGACTGGGTGCTTGCATCTCCTCCCTGCCCAGCACAGGGGCTGTGGTGGAACACAGAGATCACAGATGCTGCAGCCAGGCCCAGCCCCACTAACTCTGGAAGTGCAGGAATTTTTCTTCCCATACAAGGGCAATGTTTATAAACTTGTGTAAGAGGCTTCCTCCACATCCTCCTGACAAATGAGAACAGGCTTGGGAATGCCAGGCAGAACTTTGCTATTCCTGGCTTTTTAGAAAGTTACCAAGAAATGGAAGGAATGTAAACAGGCAAAAAATAAAAATAAGTTTGTATAGAGAAACTTTTTTTTTAAAAAAATACATAACTTGCATAATTTTAAGCTCTAGACAAGCTCTGTGGGTAGAGGTAATCTTTTATTAGATCATCTAAAAATATGGTTGAAGAAGTCAGGGAAGATTTAAGACATGCAAGTCTTTCTTCTGAAAGATTCTTTAAAGTTCCAGCTGCACTGGCTACCTTCACAAAATATTCTTTCTCCTTACAGTTCTTTTTTTACCTGGGCCTTTAGACCATCAGAGCAATAAAAAAATCCTAGGAGATAATTTTATGTTCACACTTTTGTTCCCCTTTCATTTTTATCCAGGTTATTGATGTGGCAGCCTTACATAATCATAGAAATTTTCTTGTGCAAATAAAAATTGTCTTCTGGAAACATCAAAATCTCTCCACTCTGAGAGGAAAAGCTTCAAAGAAAAAAACCCAACCTCAAGGGAAAAATGAAAGTAATCAGATGGAAACCCTATCAACACATCAGGACAGGAACCATGAGGACAGCAGAGATGCAGCCCCCAGGAGTGCTGTGGCTGCAGCCACCTGTGTGCAGGGATGAAAACCCAGAAGTGCATCAGGCACTCACATCAGTGTGTGTGCTGTACAAAGTGCCCACGAGGATCATTCCAGCTGCTGCCACCAGAGCCAGTGAGGCACCCAGGGCTGGGCTCAGCCTGACCCCCCTGGGGCAGCACCCTCAGCACACAGAGCCTGGGGGGCAAACCCTGACCTTGCCCCCAGGGCAGCTCCTCCAGCCAGGCAGGGACAGGGGCAGGGCAGGGACAGGGCAGGGACAGGGCAGGCAGGGCAGGGACAGGGACAGGGACAGGGACAGGGACAGGGACAGGGACAGGACAGGGACAGGAGCACACTGAGCTGCAGCTCCAGGACACGCAGGGCACAGAGGAACATGATGTGACATCACAGGACAGGGACAGGGACAGGACAGGGACAGGAGCACACTGAGCTGCAGCTCCAGGACACGCAGGGCACAGAGGAACATGATGTGACATCACAGGACAGCAGAGTGTCCCTGGCCAGGGACAGCCCCAGCCCAGGTCACAGAATCACCAGGTTGGAAGAGACCTTCAATACCATCAAGTCCAACCCATCCCCAACACCTCAGCCAGACCCTGGCCCCCAGTGCCACATCCAGGCTTTGTTAAACACCCCCAGGGATGGGGACTCCACCACCTCCCTGGGCAGAACATTCCAGAACTTTATCACCTTTCTGTAAAAACCTTTTCCTGCTATCCAACCTGTATTTCCCTTGGCACAGCTCGAGGCTGTGTGCTCTGGTTGTGTTGGTTCCTGCAGACAGAGCCCAGCCCCAGCTGAGCACAGGCACCTTTCAGGGGCTGTGCAGAGTGATGGGGGCACCCCTGAGTCTCCTTTTCTCCAGGCTGAGCACCCCCAGCTCCCTCAGGGGTTCCTCACAGGGTTTGTGCTCCCAGCCCCTCTCCAGCCCCCTCTGGATGGGCTCAAACTGAGGGCTGGGCACAGCATTCGAGGTGTGCCCTCACCAGTGCCCAGGGCAGGGGCAGAATGACCTCCCTGCTCAGGGAATCCCCGCTGGCTGCAGCCTCAGGGAATTCCTGACAATCCCTGGAGACACAGGAATGCCAGCAAATACTGATGGCCACGTTTTCCATTGAATCCTGGAATGGTTTGGGTCAGAGTGACCTGAAATCCCACCCAGTGCCACCCCTGCCATGGGAGGGACACCTCCCACTGTCCCAGGCTGCTCCCATCCCTGTGCAGCCTGGCCTGGGACATTGCAGGGATGCAGAGTCCAGAGCGTGCCAGGGAAACCTGGATTCTATCAGCCAGGGAGAAGCAGAAAGACAGGAAGAGAAAACTGAGTCAAATCCAGTATTTTCTGGCAGACCCTGCAATGTCACCGGAACCACGGATCCTGAAATGTCAAATCTTCTGCTCTGACTTTCACCACATGTATGAACACACAAAAACAATTACAAAATTAAATCCACATTCTAATTACCTGAAGGCTGTTCCAGTGGTGTCCTGTGCCCCTCAGCCCAGGCCAGCTTAGGCCTGTGCCCATGGGCTGTCCCTGTGTGCTGGGCAGCTGCCCTGGCTGCAGGGGGCTCATCCCCCAGAGCCAGCACCTGGGCCAGGATCCCTGGAGCAGGAGCATCCTCTGAGCCTGCACAGAGAGAGCAGAGTGAGTAAAACAGCAACCAGGGACAGCAGACACACAAATGCCACAATGAACCAGTGCTGAAGATTGCAATGCAAGATGTTTTCCATTACCATCTGTATGGCAGGTTATCTTTTGTCAAGTGGGCAGTTTGCCTTATCTCTCTCTTTGAGTGACCACATTCACACCTCCCTCTAGAGAGGACATCTGCTGATAACAGACTATTGAATGTCACTGCATGGCTGATAAGAACTATAACATCCCATTGGGAGATGTGAGCCCAGAGGGAGGAGCCAAGCGTTGCTACCCAGATATAATCCAGAGGTTTTTGAGAAACCAGCACAGCTTCTCCACGGGATTCCCCAGAGGAACAGCAGCTGCCTCTCCTTCCACTGGATCTTCAGAGGAAGAATACATCCTTCTCTATAGATCCCCCTTGCTCCAACAGAACCACACCTGATATTTCAGGAGAGCTGCAGCCACAATTCCAATGGCACTGCCACCAACACCCTGACCCACAGGGTGTCAGGTTGGGTTCTGACTCTGGCAGTGTTGTTCTAGTGTACAGCATTGTTTATTTTATCCTTTGTTTTTTTTCTTTTCCCTATTAAAGAACTGTTATTTCCTGCTCCCATATTTTTGCCTGAGAGCCCCTTAATTTAAAATTTATAGCAATTCAGAGGGGTGGGGAGGGTTTGCATTCTCCATTTCAGGGAAGGCTCCTGCCTTCCTTAGCAGACTCCTCTCTTTCCTAACCAAGACAACCAGCAATCACAAACCCTGGCAGTGCCCCAGGCCAGGATGGACACTGGGGTTTGGATCACCCTGGCACACTGGGAGGTGTCTCTGCCACGGCAGAGTGGAATGGGATGATCTTTAAAGTCCTTCCAACCCAACCATTCCATGACTCTATGATCCTGTCCCTGTCTCAGGGTTTCAAACCTAGAACTGTCCCCACCAATTTCTCATCCCTGCCAACCCGACCTGGTTACACCCCATTGATTTCCTGCACTCAGTTCCTCAGCTGCTCCCCCTGAGCTGAGCCCTGGGAGCAGCAGGGACTGGGAAAAACAAAATGTATTTTTCCATCCTGCTGTACGTTCTCCTAGAACCTTGTGCTGCTTCATTTGCATAGTGAATTTTTATATATGGCATCATCATTTCTGCAAAACAACAGATTTGCATCACATTTGTTTCTCTCATTTTGGACACGATTCCCCAGATAAACTTGAAAAAGGTCAAGAGCAGGGACACCTAAATCATGGCCAGCACAATTTGTGGCTGCAGTGATTGATCTGGGCACTGTTGGATCAGCCTGAGCCCTTGGTCACCACTGCTGCAATTCAGGAACTGGAATCTCTTAACCTGAGTTTTGTCTACAGACCAAACTCTGGATGTTAAAAACCTCTGAGTGAAACCAACCTGCAAATAAAACCTGTGATAACCTGTAATAAAAACCTGTGAAAACCTGTACTAAACCCAGTGGTGCATTCTTTGCAGGAAAAGGGGCAGAGATCTGCAAGGATGCCAAGTGAGCAGCGATTCCCAGAGCAAAGCAAGGGATGCTCAGGCTGTGAATACTGAGTTCTGCTCCTTTTCACTGCCAGATGGAGCAAGAACCCCCTTGCACCCCAGAAGGAGAGCAGAGGCTGCAGGCAGGAGCTGCCCTGGTGGCTCACAGGTAATTCAGCACAGAACACCCATCCAGCCAGGGTAGGGGTGCAGTACCTGAGTGGGAGCTGGCTCTGCTGGGCTCCACGCTGGCTCCTGCTCTCTGGAAAGGCACATAGTACATGCCAGAGCTTCCTGAGGGCTTGTAGGGCAGCAGCAGGGGCTGGGCTGGGGGGACAAGGCAAACAGTGAGCAGCAGCCAGGCTGGAAACCCCTCATGCAGCAGGGCAGGGCCTGGGCAGGCTGCTCAGGGTGCTCCTGCTGCTACAGCCTGAGGAATACCCTGTTCTTCAGCAACAGGGATTGCTATTTCATTAGCTAAATTAAATTAAATTGCTATTCCATTAGCTAAATTAAATTAATTGGATTTTTTAATCCCCACCCACAGGTAGAAGGTTACCATCCCTTACCTGGAAAAACAGCTTCTCCTATTCAATATTAAAAATGTGATCAGGGTGGCAAACAGTGAGTTACAGAAACATCTCCTGTACCCACAGAGCTCCCAGCTGATCCCAGCCTGAGGGAATCCCTTTAAAAGAGCAGGGATGTGTCCCTCAAGTCCATAAAAGCAACAACAGAGCCCCAGTACCAAACACCACTGGGGTGGGAAACCCTGTGAACATCCACATCCCCCTGCTGAGAGACACCCCAAACCCTGCAGTTTGCTGTTTTATTCCATTAAAAGCAGCAATGTGCACATTTCCCTCTGATTTTTTGGTGCTATCTTGGCTAGAGAGTAAATCAGTAATCAGACCCAGCTCTCACTGAACTCCAAGTGAACCAAATCAAACCATCTACACACAAACATCAGAAAATATTCTCCAACCATACTTGGACACAAAGAATTCAATTCTAGAGAAACCTGAACTGAACCCCAACTGTTTCCACACAACCCCCTCCTGACAGGGCTGAAAACCACAAGTTTAAGGGTTGAGCAACTTCAAATACCCCAATTATCTAAAGGATGTTATTTCCACAAAAAAGCTGGGTTTGGTTTTGGGCTTTTACATTTATCAGTACCTGACCTTGTGCAGATTCAAGTGCACAGACACCTGTAAGACAGGAATTTGCTCACCAGGCTGCCTTGGGAAGGGGGGAATCTCTGTGTGGGGTGGAGCTGCAATCCCAGGAGCTCCGGGGGCCTTGTTTGATGGAGCTGCAATCCCAGGAGCTCCAGGGACCTTGTTTGATGGAGCTGCAGTCCCAGGAGCTTCGGGGGCCTTGTGGGGTGGAGCTGCAGTCCCAGGAGCTCCAGGGGCACTGGGGAGTGATGGATGCAGGGCAGCACTTCCCCCCTCCTGGGGATCCACACAGATTTCTGCTGAGAACGTGGCTTTGGTGGGACTCTCCGTGGTGATCTGGGTGGCAGCATCAGAAGTCCTTCTGGCAGGTGTGGCAGAGCTGGGGATGCCCTGTGTGAGCCGGGCTCTGGTCCTGCCCTGCAGTTCCTGCCTGGGGGAACGCACCTGGCTGGGATCTGCCACAGGCTCAGCTGGGCTGGGAATGCCCTCAGCACGAGGGGATTTAGGAACACCTCCCACTGAAGATTCTGGAGCTGCTTGTAAAGTCTGAGCCTTCCCTGGTGGTTTGTCCCACACCTTGATCCCATTCCCAGCACTGCTGGCACTGGGGTGATGGACCCTGGGGGAGAGTGTGATGTGCACACAGCTCAGGAATCTCTTCACTGGTGATGAGGGAGCTTCAGGCATGGTGCATAAAGCCTCATCTGCAGGTAAAGGTTGAGCAGGACCCATCTGCTCCCTCACAGCCTCTTCTGGAATGGTGGACAAAGCTTCATCTGCAGGTAAAAGATGAGCAGGACCCATCTGCTCCCTCACAGCCTCTTCTGGAATGGTGGACAAAGCTTCCTCTGCAGGTAAAGGGTGAGCAGGACCCCTCTGCTCCCTCACAGCCTCTTCTGGAATGGCGGACAAAGCCTCCTCTGCAGGTAAAAGATGAGCAGGACCCATCTGCTCCCTCACAGCCTCTTCTGGAACCAGAGGTGGCTCCTCAGGGCTTTTCCTCCCCTCAGCCAACACATCACTGGGGCCCTTCAGCAAACCCCTTTGTGCAGCTGCTCCTGGGCCCTCTGAGCTCTCCTGGGGCTGGGTGTGCCCAGGGTGGATCTCCCTGAGCTGGGTGTGCGCAGGGGGGATCTCCTGGAGCTGGCTGTGCCCAGGTGGGATCTCCTGGAGCTGAGTGGGCCCAGGTGGGATCTCCCTGAGCTGGGTGGGCCCAGGTGGGATCTCCTCCTGCAGGGATGGGCTCAGAGCAGAGGGTTCAATGGATGGCTCTGTTTCCTGGCTGAGCTCCCTGGCACTGTGTCTGTGCCCCAGAGCTGCAGGCAGGAGCTGGGGCTGCCTGGCACTTAGGGTTTGTCCCTTCCCAGCCTGGATGCTCCCAGGCTGCTGGGCTGGTTCCTCAGGAGCTGCAGCCCTGGCAGCAGGGGCAGGAGGAGCCTCAGCAGCAGCACCCCCAGCTCTGTGCCAGGGCTCTGTGCCCAGCCTGTGCTGCCCAAGCAGGATGCTGGCCAGGCTGGGGCTGTGTGCCAGGCTCTGGGAGCACAGGGTGAGGGGGGTGCTGGGCTTGCCCAGCTCCCTGTGGGCAGAGGGGGCAGCTGCAGGGCTCCCTGCACGGGGGGCCTGTGCCAGAGGGGCACAGGGCTCTGCCCTGGCACTGGGGTGCCCCATGGCTGGCTGCTGGGTGGGCACTTGCAGCTCAGCAGTGTTCCAGGGCTTTGGGTGCATCTCCTGTGGCTCAGCAGTGTTCCAGGGCTTCAGCTGCACATCCTGCAGCTCAGCAGCACTGCAGGGTTTCAGCTGCATCTCCTGTGGCTCAGAAGTGTTGCAGGGCTTTGGGTGCATCTCCTGCAGGTCAGCAGCATTGCAGGGCTTCAGGAGCATGTCCTGCAGGTCAGCAGTGTTCCAGGGCTTCAGGTGCATGTCCTTTAGGTCAGCAACATTGCAGGGCTTCAGCTGCATCTCCTGTGGCTCAGCAGTGTTCCAGGGCTTCAGCTGCACATCCTGCAGGTCAGTGGTGTTCCAGGGCTTCAGGTGTATGTCTTTCAGGTCAGCAGCACCAGAAGGTTTCAGGTGCACATCCTGCAGGTCAGCAGCACTGTAGAGCTTCAGCTGCACATCCTTTAGGTCAGCAGTGCTCCAGGGCTTCAGCTGCATCTCCTGTGGCTCAGCAGCATTGCAGGGCTTCTGGTGCATGTCCTGCAGCTCAGCAGCACCCCACCGTTTCAGGTGCACATCCTTCAGCTCAGCAGCACCCCAAGGTTTCAGTTGCATGTCCTGCAGGTCAGCAGCACTGTAGAGCTTCAGCTGCACATCCTGCAGGTCAGCAACACCAGAAGGTTTCAGCTGCACATCCTGCAGCTCAGCAGCACCCCAAGGTTTCAGGTGCAGGTCCTTCAGCAGGGAGGAATGCCAGGGGTCAGCTCTAGGGAATGGTGCTGCTGGTGGTGAACGGGGCTGGAGGAGCTCCCAGGTCCTGGAGAGCTGTCCATGCCTGTCCCTGGGACACCTGGGAGCCTGCACACCTTCCAGGTCCTGCTCCTGCTTCCTCAGGTACTCAGAAGCTGCTTCCAAACCACAGAGCCAGGGATCCTGAAAAACAGAGCACAGTTCAGAGGTTATGTGGAGAACATCCCACCTGGCCAAACCTGGATGGGAAAAGCCAAGGATGAGAGCTGTGACCAACCAGGAGTTTGTCACCACGAAGGGAGGGAGCCCAGCTGGTAAGGAACTAATTAAACTTCACCCTTTCTAAGTGCCAAGTCACCATTCCATTAATGGCAAAATTAATTTCTGATGTGTTTGCTCCATTAGTATCTGTAGGGAGTACAGCTCTTCCTTAAAGGGTTCCTAAATGGTCTCAATTATTCTTCCATCAATTTTGGAAAGTGTAAGTTAATGGATTAAATATCAGCACTGTTACTGGCTCATACCACACACAACCAATGGCCTCTACCATTTAAAAACAAATTTAACAGGTTTATGAAAGAGTAATTTGTTTCGAAGACATTCCTTTATCAGCAGCATCATAAAATTAAATGTATAAAATTAATATTACATAATTAAAAGCTGTGATGATGTGGTTCTTTTCAAAAATGTGATTAATCCATTCTGCCCTTCAGTTCTGGTCTGGTGTAGGGCAGGGTCAGGGCTGGGTAATGCTGGCAAGGGACAGGACACAGACACAATTCCATGGGGATCCACCCTCCCACCCCCTGTCCCCATGTGTGTGTGGGGTTCAGGCCACCACCCTCCTGTGCACAGAACCCCTGAAGTGGCCTCAGGCTGCACCAGAGGACATTTAGAAAGCATCTTAGGGAAAATCTCTGCCTGGAAAGGGCTGGCAGGCACTGGAACAGGGAGCTGGTGGTGTCACCACCCCTGGAACTGCACAGAAATGTGTGGATAAGGCACGTGAGGATACTCTGGTGCTGAGCATGGTGGGGCTGGTTCATGGCTAGACTCAATGATCCTGGAGGTTTTTTCCAGCCTGAATGATTCCATGATTCCAAGCACCAACATAAATTTATTCATTCAAGTGTAACCCAAAATTCCAACACTTCCACTGAAGAGAGTAAATCTGAGAGAAATGTGCTGCCATGGAGATGGGCCAGATAAGCTGAATTAGAGAAAAAAAGACACAAAAATCTAGGTTATATTTACTTTTTCCTACTGATTGGGCCAACTGTGGAAGCAGCAGAATGTATTCCAGTCATGAATCAACCACGGGTCCCTGGGTGATTATATCCCCATCAACCACTGGGAATTTGGCAACAAAAAGCAGTGGGAAACATTTTTGGTGTAAACCAAACCTACAAACAAGTATTTCACAAGAGCTTTCCCAGCCTTTCTCCATCCCAGCTGTCCTGACAGCAGCAACTACTACAGCAGGGCCTGGATCACTATCCCACTTCTCTATTCCTTTATGAGTTTTAAAGCAATAAATGGGATTATTTGGCATTTCCTGCAGCCAGGAGGGCCTGTGGGAGAACCCAGGGAAAGGGAGCAGAGCTGAGCCAGCACAGGGATGATCCCAAAGCTTCTCCTCCCTGCACCACGTGCCAGTTCAACGGCCTGAGGTAATCCAGAGCAACTCCCACCCGCGAGAGCAGGCACAGAAGTTATGATAAACTCATCTTCCCAAGCCTTTCACATGTTTTATTGTGCCTGTTATGTGTCATCCTTCCAAAAAAGCTCCCTGTGCCATATGATCCACAGGAGCCTGCAGAGCAAATTTAGAGCTACAACTCCGTGAACTTCCTGGAGAAGCGAGAAAGCTCAGGGAGTGGAAAAGTACAGCAGGGAGTGGAGGGAAACACTGCACCAAGCGGGGAGGAACTCATAGGGCAGGGAACAGGGGCCACTGGCACCCTGAAATACAGGTGGGGGATCAGCTCCTCAATTTAGGAGGAAAATCCTGAGGCTGAAGGTGCTGGAATTGTGTTTGCATCCAACAGCAGCTCCAAACCTGCCATGGCAGGGACACCTCCCACTGTCCCACTGCTCCAAGCCCCAGTGTCCAGCCTGGCCTTGGGCACTGCCAGGGATCCAGGGGCAGCCACAGCAAATCTGGGAATTCCAGCCCAGCCAGGAATTCCTTGCCAAGATCCCAGCCCAATCTCCCCTTTCCCAGTGGGAGCCATTCCCTGGTTCCTGTCCCTGCAGGCCTTGTCCCCAGTCCCTCTGCAGCTCTCCTGGAGCCCCTCCAGGGGCTCTGAGGATTTCCTGGATTTTTTCCTTCTCCAGAGGAACATTCCCAGCTCTGCCAGCCTGTCCATGTTGAATATTCCAGGGGTTTGGAGCCCTCCAGAGCACTCGAGCTGGGTTTGCAGCCCCTTGCTGTGCCCAGCCCAGGCCCCTCCTGAACCCTCTGCTCCGGCCGACGTGGGGAACACACAGGAAAGATGGAAAATCTTCCCAAGTAAAACATCCCAGAGAACTTCCCCAGTGTCCTACTCCTTTCCCTGCCCACAGAATTCACACACTTCCATGGCAAACAGGGAAATGCCAGGAAAATCCAGTGGCACCTGAATTCCTGCAGCTGTCACCTCTGGAAGGGAGAGGCAGAGCCTGAGCATTCCCACAGAACATCCCCAGACCTGCCCCACACCAGACCCTGCAGCAGTTGTTCGCTCGAGCTGCAGGAACAGTTTGTCTTTCTCAGCCTTAAAGGTTTAGGAGAAGGAAAATGTCTTTTCCCAATCTTTGTTCTGTTCTTTTTAACTCCATGCAAGGCACTTTGGCTCTAAGACTTCCCCCCTTATTGTACACAACAGTTCCCATTAAATTTACAGGAGCATATTTTGCCTGGCTGTGGTTTTTTCAGTGCAATAGTTTTGAACAATCTGTGTTTTTCAGTGACAGTGTTTGTCTTGGAGCACATTTATCTTAAGTACAATAAAAAAACCCAGTGACCTTCACTCTGCAAATTCAAACCTTTTTTTATCTCAAATTAAAAACATTGCAGTGCAAAAGTATTTTCAAGATCAAAGCCCGAGGTGCTGTGGTTCAACTAAAGCAATTTCTTGGAGCTTGGTTTGCAAAATTATGGTGAATTTCTTCTTACTCTAAATGGGGAGAAAACAATCCCCAGCTGACACTGAGTCACAGAAAGGTAAAATCCTTGGTTCCACACTGCACAAAGTTTCTTCCAGGGACCAAGCTGTGACCAAAATAATATAAAAGCTAGGGAGAAAAAGCTTTGATGCCTCTGGTTTTGTATTTGTGTTTTGCTTCTGTTAAAAAAAAAAAAAATCTTAATTTTAAGAAATTTTAATTTCTAAAATATTAAATAATATCTATAATACTATTATATATTTCATATAATATAAATATATTCTATAATATTGTATCTTTATAAATAATATAAATTTTATATATTATTTTAAAGACATTATAGTATATTTATCATTTATTTCTATAATAATTATTAATAAAATAGTCACTTTCTTTTCCCCCAGCTGCCCAGAGATTCCATCAGTCTGGGAATACCCAGGAAGTTTGGCCTGATGGCTTTTGGGAGCTGCTGTGTCCCCTCCCAGCACAGCTGATGCAGAACACATCAGTACTCCTAAAGCAGAGTACTGCTCTGAAGCTCCCAACAGCTCAGAACACAGCTCAGAACACAGAGTACTCCTAAAGCACTGACTGTCACTCCTGCTAATGCAAGGCTGTTAATTAAAACAAACAAACCAACCCCTGCTGCTTTTCCTGGGAGGCAGGCGGGCTGCAGGAGAAAACAGGGAAAATCAAGGGAAAAATAAAGAGGAAGCTCTTCCTAAAGCTCAGGGCACTTGTCTGAACCACCAGTCCCTAAAAACCTTGCCCTAATCACCCTGGAGAGCACAGCAGTGCCAGAAATGGCATTAAAAGTGAAGACAGAGGTAACACACTCCTGCTCAGACCAATTCCAGCCCAGACATGCAATTTATAATGAACCAGAAACACTCCAAAGGACATGCACCAACCATGGCAGCTCCAGGGCTCGTTCTCCCAGAGAATCAGAGATGCAGAGCCTGAAACTCCTCAGCCCTGAGCTCTGACCCAGCACAGACATCACCAGGTTCCCACAGACACTTTCCAGCTCCAGGGAGAGCATTCTGTGACCAGCACTCCCTGGTTTCCCCTGGCATCCTCACCTGCAGGAGCCTGGAGCAGCCCCTTCCCTTCCCTTCCCTTCCCTTTTCCCTTTTCCCTTTTCCCTTTTCCCTTTTCCCTTTTCCCTTTTCCCTTCCCTTTTCCCTTCCCCCTTCCCTTTTCCCTTCCTTGCCCACAGACTCTCCCAGTGCTGAGGGTGCTCCCTGCACACCAGGAGGAGTTTCCCAGCCACCATCAGCACCTCCACAAACATTCTGTGCTAAGAATTCCTCCAACCAACCCCAGGACCAGGAGCTTTGGGCACTTTCCCACAGCAACACGAATTGTCCCCCCACAGCTCTGTCCTTCACACCTTCCTCAGGGACATTTGCAGCTGAGTGTCACCCCCACGGCCAAACCACCCCAAACTGCTGGGAAAACCATAAAAAACCCCAAAACCCCCCAAGAGCAGGTGCAGCAGTGTTTCCCAAGCTGAGCTGGTTTGTACCTTGGCTGGTGCAGGTTCCCTGGGCTTTGGGAGCAGCTCTGCCTTGACTGCCTCCATCCTGAGCTGGGGCTCTTCATCCCAGTCTGCCTCACACTCCTGGGACTGGCTGGCCAGTTTCATCTTCACCCAGGCTGCCAAAAACACAAAGCAGGAGAACTTTCCCATTTCATGTATGAGAGCAGTTTTTAACTTAAAGTCAAAGCTGTGCATTTCTGGTTAGCCCAGCTGAAAGAACAAAGACCACACCAAATTCCAGAGCTCCTGGAATGAGCAGGAACACAATGGCAAATGGCTCCTTGGATCATTTATTTGGGGAGATGGATCCAAGACTCTTCCCTGGTTATGTCATCCTCACAGCCTCAGACACAACTCAGAGCTCACTCACAAAATCCTTTCCCACATCCCTGATTTAATAACTGTACGGACAAAATAATTTCTTACAGTGGTGCCAGGAAAAGAAGGTTTTCAAACTGGAAAAGCCCAATTCTACCCAGTTTTATCACAGCACAGAAGATTCCCCAGTGTCCTGATCCTTTCCCTGCCCTCCGACTTCACACACTTCCATGGCAAACAAGGAAATGCCAAGAAAATCCAGAGGCACCTGAATTCCTGCAGCTGTCACCTCTGAAAGTGAGAGGCAGAGCCTGAACATTCCCAAAGAACCTCCCCCCAAAGAACATCCCCCAACCTCCACCACAGGCACAGCACCAGACCCTGCTGGAGTCAGGAGATCACTGGGAAGTGTCCCTCACTGAAGCCCTGTCCTGAACATTCCCAAAGAACATTCCCCCAAAGAACATCCCCCCAACCTGTCCTACAAGCACTGCACCAGACCCCAGGAGATCACTGGAAGTGTCCCTCACCAAAGCTCTGTCTCATTAAAGGGTCTCAGTGCACTGCACAATGATCTCCTTCTGTTGTAAATCAAAGGTGACTCTGACACAGGGGAGAGAGAATGGTGCATCTGACTCCATCATCAGAAGGCGAATTAATTACTTTACTATTAATTACTTTATAATACTATACTATGTACATTGTATCCAAACTGAATCTGCCATGCACTCACCCTTGCTCACAACTGCTCACCCTGCACTCATCTCTGATTGTCTCGTGACTGTCCCGTGACAGTCCAGCACCCACACACACACCTGGCCCTGATAGGCCAAGGGAACAAAACATCCTCACTTTGGGTAAACAATCCCCATGTTGCATTCTGCTTTAGCACAACACAGGCACAGCAAGCCAGATAAGAATTGTGTCTTCCTTCTTCTCACAGCTTCTCTCTGTTTGGAGGGCACGTGAATAGCAGACCCTTCATGCAGGAGCAGCCTCACCCCATCACTGCCACAGCCCCTGACACAAACCCACCCCAGCCCCTACACAAACTCACCCCAGCCCCTGACACAAACCCATCCCAGCCCCTACACAAACTCACCCCAGCTCCTGACACAATCCCACCCCAAGCTGTGCCAAACCCACTGAGAGCCTTCCTCACCTCGGATCTTCCTCTCATGCTCCTTGGTCACTGCCACAGCTCCTGACACAACCCCAACCCCAGGCCGTGCCCCTGACACAGCCAAACCCACCGAGAGCCTTCCTCACCTCGGATCCTCCTCTCGTGCTCCTCGGCGCTCTTCAGGACACGGCTGGCCGGGGCAGTGGTGCCCAGGAGGCTGCGGACACGCGTGGCCAGCGAGTCACCGCTGCTGCTGCTGCTGCCCGCCGGGCTCAGGGCAGCTCCTGGCAGGCTCCGAGCAACTCCAGCTCTGGGCAGGCTGCCCTGCACCGCCCCCAGGGCACTGCCCGGCTGCTGGGACTGCCCAGCCCTCCTCAGGAGGCTCCTGACCCAGGCACTGAGGGAATCCCCACTGCTGCTGTCCTCGCTGCCCTGTGTCCCTGCTGCCCTGCCAGCCAGGCCCCAGGAGCCCAGGGAGCTGCCCAGGCCAGTGGGGGCACTGCCCAGGGGCTCCAGCGGAGGAGGATGGCCCGGCTGTGGGGCTGTGCCAGTGCTCTGTGCCAGCCCCACATGGGGAGCCTTTGGGGGCACTGCCAGGGGCTCCAGGGAGGGAGGATGGCCCGGCTGTGGGGCTGTGCCAGTGCCCGGGAGGCTGCTGGCTGTGCTCTGTGCCAGCCCTGCACGGGCAGCCTGGCTCCTGCCCACACTGCTGCTCCCTTCTGGCTCCCACCTCCCCATGGATTTCCCTGCCCTTGGCTCCTGGGCCACTGCCCTCAGCCCTTCCCTGCGCTGGGAGCTGACAGCCAGAGGGTGTCCCCATGCCAGCTGCCAGCTGGCAGAATCCAGAGGGTCCATGTCCAGCTCCTGTGCCCGCACACCCCTCGCAGTCACGGCCTCATCCCATGACAGTGTGTCCTGCAGCTTTGGGATCCGGTCCTGGCCTAACCTGGCATCCCTGGGATCCTCCTCCCTCTCACCCTGCTCTCTGCAGGAGGCTGTGGGGCCAGCAGGACGGCTCCAGCTGGCAGCCAGACCCTCTGCCTGTGCCAGCAGCTCCCGGAGCTCCTGCAGGGCCTCAGGGCCCATCAGGGGTTCCCTTTCCTGGCCCTGGCTGCTCTCACTTCCCACCCCGGAGCTCGAGGATGCCCTGTCCAATTCCATGTCATTCCCAAGCCCAGACAGAGCCCATCCCTGCTGGCTGCTGTCTGAGCTCCTGCACTCAGGGTCAGCAAGGGCACCCTGAGCCCTTCTCTCCCCATCCCGGGGATCCCTGCCCAAGGAGCAGCTGGGCAGGTCCTGCTCTGCCCCAGCAGGTCCAGGGGACCCCTCTGTGCCCCCTGGGGCTCCCCCCTCCAGCTGGGGGCCTGGCACACTGCCCTGGCTGGCTGGGGAGTGCCCAGAGAGCGTGGGGGAGCTGGCACTGAGCTCCCGGGGGGACAGCAGGTCCTGCTCCTGCTCCGAGCCAGCCTCGGAGCCCATGGAGAGGGACACGCTCAGAGGGGACACATCCGAGCCAAAGCTGGCCTGGGACAGCTCAAAGGCTGGCAGCAAGGCACCTGCAAAGGAACAGGACACAAATGAGCATCTGCAGGCTCCAGAACACAGCAAACATCCCTTCCTGTTTGTGCTACAGGGCACACAAAGGGAGGGAAGAACTCAAATACTGGAAAATGGTGCTGTTCTTAGGATGAGACTTGAACCAAGATTTCCATGAGAATTGTCTCCTGAAAGAAACCTCAGGAGTACTTCAGATAAATATCAAACAAAATACAAAACTTATCAGAGAATTATAGAATATGTAGAGTTGGATAGGATCACCCATCCAGCCCCTGGCCCTGCACAATCCCACCCTGTGCACTTGGGAGCAGTGTCCAAACCCTCCTGGAGCTCTGGCAGGGCTGGCTGTTACAAAACCACACTAATTTGGATGGTGATGATGATGATGATGGGTGGATGGATTTAGGAACTGATCTGGTCAGTTATAAAAACACTGACAACTTTTCATCACACCAAACACACCAGGAAATGCCAGAATGCAAAAGAAACCCTGAATTATTCCTCTCCCAAGATGGAAAGGTCTGCTCCCAGTCCTTCAGTCTCAGGATACAAACCATTTCCTTCTGAAGGACTCTTAGAAAAAGAGAAATGAAGGGATTAATGGCCTTGTGTGCCTGGCAGCTGCCCCACAGCCACACTCCTGAGCAGGGGGCAGCTTTGCAGAGATTTGAACACTCCCCAGTGCCCAAATCTGCCGTGATGGCAGAAGATGGAGTGCCAGGAACCCCTGAGCCCCAGGGGAATGGGGTCTGTGCCCTCCTGGTGGAACCCTGGGTACTGAGGGTTTCACACTTTCTGGGCTAGAAAACACTGACCCTTAAGAAAACTCTACATTTGACCTGAGACCGTAGAGAAAGCTTTCAAAATTGCATGATAAAACTCAGATCATGAGGGTAGTGTTTAAATAAATCTATGTAATGTAACAAAGTTGAAAACTCAGAATTTAAAGTTTTAGTAATATATAGTAATGTTTTATATACTATATAAAAATATATAGTAAAGCTTTAGTAATATATAGTAATTATAGTATTATGTAGTATTTAGTATATAGTATTATATAGTATTTAGTCATATATAAAATGAAAGTTGTAAAACAGTAACTAATCCTTCTTCTTCACAAGTTTAAGTAATATTGTGTAATTAAATTTAAAAGTCCAGGTTACAAAACACAAACAATTAGTTATTAATAATAACTAACTAATAATTATTTGTTAGTTATTAACTAATTAGAATTATCATTCATTATACAATATATAGCAATTATAATCAGCTATATAATAATAATGGTATATAACATACCATAATATAAGTTCTATAATAATATAATACAATAATATTATAAAATAATTTAATATAATAGATAGATAATATTAAATAATATATAACAATTATTATTAGTTATAATAAGTTGGCATATATAACAATTTAATAATAATAATAATAATAATAATAATAATAATAATAATAATAATAATAATAATAATAATAACATATATTATTGATAATATTAGATATAATATAATATAATGTAATGTAATATATAACAATTATAACTAGTTATTAATAATAATCTAACCCAATAATTATTAGTTAGTTATTAACTAATTATAACTATTTATAATATATATAACAATTATAGTCCTATAATAATAATATATAACATATATTAATAATATTAGATATTGTATAATTATAAATAGTTATTAATAATAATAACCTAACCCAAGCAAAGAAACCCCAAAGCCTGCTACCTTCCCATCCCCCAGAGCCCCCATACCCTGGGCCTGCGGGGGGACTCTGTCCAGGGGGGCCATGTCCAGGGGGGGCTGCAGGCTCCTGAGCCCCCATGGGGAGAACTCCAGCTCCCGGAGGGGCCCACGGGGCACAAAGGGGGCCAGGATGGTGCCAGGGGACTGCTCGATGCCCAGGTTCCGCAGGTACACCTGGCAGGGAAACAGGGACAATCAGCACTTGGAGCAGGGGGGCATCCCGAGCTCTCCTGGCACACTGGGCACTGCAGGAGCGGGCACTGCATTGCCCAGGTTCCACCGGTACACCCGGCAGGGAAACAGAACAATC